CAACTGATCGCACTCACAGATTTACAGTAGGGTTTGGTGCCTGGTATTTTGGATGATTTGCGGTCCAGGCTTGCTTTGTGTGTGTGTGTGTGATGTGTTTGAATGAGAGCCTTCTCTGTATAGTGGTTAGCGGCATCAGGGCCGCGATCGGCATACACCTTGGAAGACATGCCACTGTGAAGGATTTGACAATGGGATCGTTATGTCAGTCCAGCAGCCATGCAAGTTTGTGCCCACGCAAGTGCCTGCTGCAATTTAGGACGACCTTCGAACCCGTCGAGCTTGAGGACTTCTGTGGGAACAACGACTGCTGCTGATCTCGTGACTCAGTCTCGAGGCGACACATCAGAGACACAAGTCGTGCATGAGCCCTTCGCTGAAGAAGTTCGAAATGACCTCTCGAAGCTTCCGGACATGGAGGTGTTCCCGGCCACCACGAATATGGCGGTGTCCCCGGCCACCACTGACGGCATTTTGTCCCCGACAGCAGAGAGAGTTCAGGATGGCAGCGACCGCTCATTCGTGTACACCTCCCCGCATGCCGACGACAGGGCAATCGCCTTGCCGTTTTCACCGACACCAAAAGATGTTGGTCTTCATGGCAAGGACGGCGCAGAGGTCAGTCGCGTGCCCTCAGGCTACAAAGCAGGGTTTTTTTTTTCCTAAGTATGCCTGAAAAGATTGCAGGCTCAGTGATGTTGGTTGGCACTTAGAATCCAGTGGCGTCTGCAAAATGCAAGAAGGCCATTGCAAGCCATACTCCGGCTTTGCTTACCTCCGCCAATTCTTCCTGAGCGTGAGACCCGTACCCCGGAGCCTCAACACTTTTCGACCTTGTAGAAGCCCTTATGATGGCCCTTTTGATAACCCTCATGGCAACCTCATGGTAACCTCATGGTAACCCTGGGTGTTTATGTGTTTCATGTTGGCAGCAAGTCAGGTCGAGTTTCAATGTGGACAGCCCCATCGCAGACGAGCAGCACGCATCCAAGGTACTGGAATCCAAGGTCGGCTAATATAGGGCATGATTTATGGGGCTCTGAACGAAGTTTGTCAATAGTCTATATTGAAGTTATAGGTATATAGGGACTGGGCGACACGCGCCTGCAGACTCGTTGCTGGAGCTGGGTGGGGGAGGCCAAGTACTGTTGAAATCGAGTCAGCTGCTGTCCGTCTTGTGAGGGATGTATTCATATGTCGGCAGGGGCGTTTGGGTTTCGGGATTAGGGATGTTCTTGTGTCTTCGCCGGTGCCCCATGCGGAACTTTGCTTAGACCCGGTTATGTAAGCAGCTCACAAGGCCTTCGTGCAAAGTTGTGCACGACGGCTGATCTGCCTGTAGCTGCCTGCAGGGCTGGTCTCCATGATCGCTCCGCCTTTAGCTTTATTCGACCTGCACCCTGCCTGTTCCATGTCACCGAAACAGCAACCGGACACACGTGTGCATGTATACAACAGCACCCTGTTCTTCTGGTTTCTTTGGAAGCAGAAGCGTCGCCAGCCATGAACGTGGTCCATCTGTTCGCTAGGGTGTTGCAAAACTGGCCTGGTTCTTACCCCCAGCGACCTGTATTTATGTATCTCACTTTAGCTTCTGTCCGCAACCAGCACAGTTGGAATGACTAGGGTAACCTCCCGAAACCCTAGGATAGAAGGGCTCGTTCAGCTGACCTGTGTTTAGTGCGATCGGTTGGTCGGAGGCGCAAACGTTAGTGCGTTGCTGTAAGCGTGTCTTTTTCTATATACACACATTTTTTAAGTTGTTTCCATGCGCACTTCTATGACCTATTCGGGCCTACGACCCTGCCACCACGACATACATAATTACACGCATACATGCAGACAGACAGACAGACAGACCGACAGGCAGACAGACAGACCGGCATACGCACATACATACAGACTGAGACATACAGACATACAAGGGCACATACTCATTACATACACTTACATACACTCGCATACATTCTTTCACTTACGCCATATGCGTACCTACCTGCCTGTCTGCCTGCCTCCTACCTATCTGCCACATACATTCACCTGCACCTACGTACAAGTACAGACACTTATTTACATGCAGACATGCATGAGTCACTCAAGTGTCAGGACAAAGACCCGATGTCACATCAACCTTGTCAGCAAGGCGTGGACGGAAAGAAGAGAACAGACATTCAAGTGTTCAAGGGCTCCGTAGGACTATTCGTGAGTGCATATTATGACGACAAGAAGATGCTGGTAGTACAGATCGTAGATCGTATTTCTTAATCGCTGCACTTGAGCTCGGCTGAAAACCTTGTCGACTCCGGGGTAAGTTCACACTGACCAATGTGATCTACCCAGAGTGCCCAGTTTTGACTCCTTAAGTGAGGAGTAAATACCTGAAACCCATGATCAGCAATTTCGATTGAAATAAAGTGTAATCCTTTGGTTCGGTGGTACTCCCTAAACCCTAAACCCTTTTGGCTCCTTGGTCAAGGGGGCCCGTGCCCTCCAACTTGCTTTCCGCAGAGCGAGAATGCCTGGATCAATCGCAGGGTCGCGACCACAATGCTCTTCCCTGCACCATGTTGTCGAGCCGAGCCATGCTGACTTAGGGTTTAGGGTGCACTGCTTTGCCGGCAAGCAACCAGTTACCAAAGTGAAAGACCGCTTCATCTTTCGCCACCTCCCGAAGATATCGCTCTGCAGAGTGGCATTGACGCGGTAGTTTCGCCCAGGCACGTAAGCCACAAGCTGGAGACTGATACTCGTCGCGTCGCGTCCAGCCTCACTCGTGAAGGAGCGCAGAATAGTAGCAATACCAATGATATTTAAATAACCATCATCATCGTGTAAGTAGTCATATTTACGAGTGTACAGCAGAAAGACTAACAACAGTTCTGATAATGATTACGATATTAATAAGTTAATGACAGTAGCAGGAGTAACAATAAGGAAAATAGTATAACAATAATACAAATAAGTATACACTAATAATAAGAGTATGAGCTATAAGAATATTATATAAGCAATAAGATTAAATGTGAATCATATTAATACTAATACAGTAGACAAGAACAAGTTTAATAATAATTGTGATAGTAACAATCCTAATCACAAGACCAGTATTAACAATGCAAGAATACTAACCACCAATACGAGTAGTAGTAAGAATAAGAATAGCAAGAAGAAGAGTAAGTTGCGGAGGAAGGGATTGCCTCCATAACATCAGTGAGCCTGCATGGGAGTTCGCAGTGCAACTGTTGTCGAGCTCCGTGGAAGGCAAGAACCAAACCCACTGCTCAGCGAAAGCAGGGTCTACCGCTCCACCGTTTAGCAGCGAAGTGAGAAACCTTCTACGCCAGTGGCTCCATCAGCCAAACTCAGGTTTGGGACTAGCCCAAGAGTCAGAAACTTCTCCGTTCCTTCTCATAGTTCGCCCGAGAGCTTCAGTGATTGCCCCGGAGCTTGTTGTTTCCTGCTCTTGAGACATGCATGGAGCTGCTGAGCTTGCTGCCAGCACGCTTTGAAGGTGCCGGTCTCGTTAGGAAGGCCTGCAAAACTCGGGTGCACCAGGTGATGCGAGTCCACGCCCCGGCGACTTGGTGTCAATGCCACCGCAGACGCTTTTTGTTCACTTTTGCTAGTGCGACTGCCAACCTGACGAGCCTAAGGAAGCAGTATGGGCGGGGCACAGTCTCGAAGGCTCGCGCGTGCTCGTTGGCACAGCTGTTTCCTTGAGTGCAAGAACTGCTCTAGCGATGTCAAACAAGTCCAGTATCCGCTCATAGTCCCTATTGGTATATATGTATGTATGTATGTATGTATGTATGTATGTATGTATGTATGTATGTATGCATGCATGGATGTATGTATGTATGTATGTATGTATGTATGTATGTACACACTGCGACACACCCAAAACCCAAATTCTAACTATTGAGACAACACCTATGAATGCTGTGTTATTTTCACTATTTTTTTGATGTCGAATATTGCGTTATTATTATAATAACGATTATCACCACCATCATTAGCACTGATATTATGTTTATTAGTGTTATCGTTATGTTTGTTGCCGTTACTTCTATTCTTATTACTGTTATTGTCAGTTATTGTTCCTGTTATTGTTATCGTTATCGTCCTTGTTACTGTTATTGCTGTGATGGTTATTGTCAATATTCTTATAACTATTCCTAGTAGTGTTAGATATAACCCTAAACCCTAAACCTTAAACCGAGTATCCTTACTTGGCTCTGGGCGTCCAATAGCGACTCGGTGACTCCCCGGAGGGCCAACCTGCCGCTGCCCGCACGGCCGGGAAGCAGCGCATCTCCCCGGAGGAAGTCTTTCAGCGTCAACGACCCTCGGCTGATCCGGTTTAGGGTTAAGGGTTTAGGGTTAAGGGTTTAGGGGGTGCGAAGCCGAATTTGGAGCGGGTTTTTGAGGCTTTTTGTGCGTCAGGGTCATACGGTGTCGTTGTGTGTGTTTCTGCTTCTGATGCATTTGTCCTATCACAAGCAGCTGGGTCTTCTTAAGCAGAATCTGCCCCAGGCCCTGATTATGGAGGCCCCTATGTTGGACCTTTGCGGTCATGCCGTACGTCTTTTCTCTGAAGCCAGCGGTACATCTGCGACGCTGGGCGAAGCCCAGTTTCAAGGTATCATTTCCTACAGAGCCCCCCTGCAGCTCGAATGTCTGACTTCTTCAACATCCTCCCTGTGGCAAGAAGATCTGACTTTGGTTAGCAATGTCCATAAGTGAACAAATCCACCCCAATTTCGTTTACACTACTAGAAACACCTTGAACCCTAAACCCCAAAACCTTGTGACCCAGATAAGGAGCCTATGGAGTGTCCAACAGCTTACATGTCCCCACAACAGGTGCGGAACAATTATTGTAAAGGTGGTCGG